AGGAAAAAGAAAGGTTTGATTTATTTGATTTTATCAGGAGTTGGGTAAATATTGATCTTAAATCAAACTGTTGTTAGTAATAATTGTAAATTTAATGAATTTATGATGTTTTAAATTCTCCTATTTTATTTTGCCAGGCATCTGAGGGCAACCTTCATAGAAACAGATCAGTAATAAGTCACTGGTTAAAGTATACTCAGTGGGAAGAAAGTCAGAGAGAAATTCAAAGGTAGATATTGAATCTGTCATTTATTTAATAATTAATAAAAATTTGACAAATTGACAATAGTTCAGGGAGGGGAGGGGAGGGTAACTTGTAATGGATTATACCTTTGCTGCTCTTCCAGAGTGGTTGATAGGTTACTTTGAGTGACAAAAACCACACAGATATGCTCCAGAAACTCTGTAAGTTAGCCTTCTATGCAGAGTTAACTCGTCTCATCTTTGATATTGAGATTAGAGTTTTACTTCTACAGACATCACCAGATTAACCATGCACGGAATATCTGGGACAGAGCAGTCACCATCTTGCCGAGAGTGAATCAGTTTTGGTTAGTACATAATGCTTCTTTGTGATGTAGTTATAGTTTAGGGTATTCTGGTTAAGTTTAAGTTGGTTTACATTTCGTGAAAACAATGGTATATTCATTTATAAGTGTTAGTAGTAAAGGGAAACTTCAGAAAAGTTGATCTGAGAGTCAAGAGCTGTGTCATTTTACTTAAGTTAGGTATAAGTACACCTACATGGAAGAGATGCTCACTAATATTGCTGGTGCATGACAGATATTAGAATGATTGATGGAATGGAAGCCAGATGAACAAGCTTGGCATTCTTACATTAACATGGAGCTCAGATGTAAGGAAGTGGATCATGTGCTGAGTATTTATGAAAGATTTGTTATGGTGCATCCAGGGGTGAAAAATTGAGTGAAGTTTGCTAAATTTGAGGAGAGACAGTCCAATTCAGGTGAATGAATTCATATGCTAGTGACATGGTTTATAATTCACGTTTTTTGGTATCAAGTTTTTCTAATGACATTTAAATGATTTTTAGACCTCTTTACTGTTATTTTGGAACAAGTGGTTGACAATTACTAGTGTTAAGTGTTTCATCCACCAACTGAAATTTACTTTGTGGTGATTAAAGATATCTTTTTTCAGTTGGTGCAAGAGATTTTTATGAAAGAGCATTAGAGTTCTTTGCTGAGGAAAATGCAGATGAGAAACTTTTTCTTGCATTTGCAAAATTTGAAGAAAACTGCAAAGAGGTATGGATGGAGACTTTCTGTTTTACATGTAGCCAAAATTAGAAACAAGAGGATAAGTTAACAATTGTAATCACCAGTTCTTTTTATGTTTCCAGTGAACAAAATTGTAGTTGTAAATAACAGTGACACTTTTGGGATCAATTAATTTGAAATGCACAGTGGTAGAAACCTTAGTGACAAAACCTGAATATCTCTAATTGTTCTTTTTTCCTATTCCATAGCATGATCAAGTGAGGTGATTTTCCAGTATGCTCTGAACGTCTTACCAAAAGGGGAGTGTAAAGTAAGTGTGGATTACGTACAGGCTTTGTTCTAATGGGAGTTGATTCATTTTCTAGATGTTTGGAAGACCTGAGCTGAGAAAACATTTCCATGTTGCTGACTTTTAAAATCATTTTTGATTTTCTCCTTCAAAAACTCATTTCTGTTCCTTCCTCTTTGTCCCTAAAGCCTCATCGATATCTGTTAGATTGTGTTTTTCCATTAAAATTTACTAATACCTTTTTTTTTTTTTTCAGGAGTTGTACAAAGCTTACACTCAACATGAGAAGAAAATAATATGGAGACAAAGGAGGGATAGAAGATGTGATTGTTAGCAAGAGAATAAATTCTAGTATGGAGGTTAGTTAATTGAGAAATCATAACAACAGTATTTTTTTAAAATCACAGCTTAACAAAGTAGATGTTTTGATATACGGTTGTATTATATAGCTGGCAGTCCCCTTGGGCAAGAGGAAAATGTTTTTGTAAGGAATACAGCTGTGTGGTTTACTGAGTCTCTCTGGACCACTGTCTCCTATTGTGAATATAGTTTCGCCCTCTTTTGACATAACTTGAACTCTCTGATTTTCGAATTCAGTGACAACAATACGTTCTGTCTCGTCAAAGCAAAGACTAACTGGAATCTTTAAGTGTCCTTTTCCCTCACCTTCTTGTCCAAAGACGTTTACAACAGTACCAGTCTGTATATTGATGAGTTGAATTCTGTGATTAAGTGTATCTGCCACAAGAATTTCGTTGTCGTTAAAAAACGACACCGCAGTTGGATATTTAAATTGTCCAGGACCTGTTCCTTCTTTTCCAATTTGTCTCAAACAGTTCCCTTCTTTATTGAATACAAAAACACAGTGTCCAAGATTATCTACAACAGCTATGTCTCCTTGCCTGTTTACTGCAATTCCAGTTGGTTCCTGCAACGCCTGCCCTTGGTTAAACTTCAAATCCAACTCACCGACTACTACAAGTTCACGTTCTTTCACTGGGAAAGTGAACGGACTGGGTACAAGCTTTTCGCCATTGATCTTCATTTCAGCACTGTAGACGCCAGGCACTTTGGGTGTGAACTTCAGCCTAATGTTACCATCTTCTTTTTCTTGGACAATTACGTTTGTTACGTCATTGGCGGGTTCTATCAGCAATTCAACGTGATCTTTGAGATCAGCCTGGTAACTAATCTCTCCACCAGAAGTTTTTGGACATAACGTAAACTCGGCTTGTACACCGGCCTGAAATGATTGATCCAGTCCTTCCAGAGTTGATTTAGCTGCGTTTGCCGGTACCTCGGTGAATTGAATAAATCCCAGTTTTAAGTCTTGTTGCGATGCTACGGTAAATTTGACAAATGTATTCTGGTCATGTTTTGGAACTTCAACTCCACGAAACTCTTCAAATTTGTGTGTGAAAGTTGTCTTTGTCTGTATAATATCGAAGCCCGAGCTTCTCTGTACCAGATTCTCTGCAAATTCAGCTGCTTGGTTCATTTGTTTTACCAGAGATTCGAGTTCTTTTTTAGCCGAGTTGATTCGCTCTATTCTCTTTCTACGCGTCATTTCTAGGGACTCTAATAGTTGTTTTTGTTGTTGTCGCGTCTTTGTGATCACGTGTTCAGCTGCCTCTGACACTTCTTGTTTAGCGACTGCAATAATCATTTCCACATCTTCAGATGTTTTGTCCAGGTTTCTAATCTCTGCTCGAAACAAGTTTGCCTTTTCCTTGATGGTGTCGACGTTCGACATGATGTGTTTCCTATCCTCTTCCACTGCATTTTCAATAACGTCGAACTCATGTCGTTGGTGTTGTTGAGCGAGGCAAACAGGACAAACACA